GGGACGTTCATCGAGTCTTACCTGCCAGCTTTCTTGATCCCATACTCGTCCTCACCTCAGGCGGGTTAAAATTCGAAGACGGGATCCATGATGAGCTTCTAGCGCAAAAGGCTGTACTAGGAATCATGCGATGCAATTGTATCTGATCTCGCTCGACACAATCTTTGACCGAAATCAGTCTTTACACAAGTCTCTACTCGGGTCTGCGCGGGCGCTGCCATCGGCTGCAGAGATCCGGTCCTCAACTTCTTCTCCTCGTATCCGACCCGGCCAAGTCTTGTAGAAGCTTCTGGTGAACCCCAGATCTGTGGTCCCCTGTCGCACTCCTGCGCTACTCACTGCGGCCTCAAACCAAGCCCTATCACACGCTGATGATGCCAAGCGTCTCCCACCGAAGTTTCCGCCGTCCTCGAGCGAATAATGCGTCGTGTGTAAGAGGAAGTTGGCCTTGTTGACAGTAGGATCCAATACCGAGCCTTGCGGAGGCGTCAGGCTGCATCTCTTCATGTGCAGGATGATGCTGAGGAGGCAGAGGAGGAACATGAGCGTTTGCAGCAGGAAAAGAGGTCGTAAACAACATACAAAGCTTCGTAGGACATGGGAAATTTGGCCGGCTAGAATCTCAAAACACGCGGAGAACAAGCCTGTGAAATTGGCAAAGTAGTGGCGGCGGGCTTGAAGCTGCCACCACTCGATGAGTTGCAGGGTCCTGTTACCGCGATGGGGATTGTTTCTGATGTCGGCGGGTCCCTTTGATAGCAGGATTAGTCGAAGAAGAGGGCCAGACAGAGTCCGGGAGTGGGCACGATCGGATACGTGGCTCGTGAGATCATCAGATGCAGCGACGAATCTGACTGGTAGTCGTTAGGTGTGGTAGATGGCGATCTCATGACGGGCAAACCTCCCTTTGGTGACGGCAGCTGGACTCAACGTTCAGCTCATTGCCAGTCAGCCCACACAATCTCTTTGGTCATGCCCTGGATCGCGGCGAATGCAATGTTACCACGGTCGAGGTAGCTGATCAGCATGAGAAGAAGTACGACAGGCGTGACGTGTAGATCGAGATTCCGAACGACACGCTTTCCTTTCTCGATGAATTGACAATATGAGGTATAACCGTCACCACCGGTTTACTCGTCGGTAGGCACTCAGGTTTCCAACCAGTTCCAACAGAGGGAATACTGGGAGGTGTCTTGATTTATCTTGCAAGAACTAATTAGTGTAAATGTCTCACTCATTTCCCCTTTCCTCCGCTCGCGCCCTCTCCCCTCTATGTGAACCAACTCTGTGGTAGCAGGGTAGTCAATGGATTTCAATAATCTGCGCAATCTTGCAAAGTACCTCGCGAATCACCCCTGCTTGCAGCTTCACAACTGCTCAGGAGAAATACAACCCCTAAAGTCGATGTCTGGTGAGACGTTATTTCCATGTTATGGCGGGGCGAGTGCGAGGCTCGCATCCCCGGCACCGCATCCAAAACTGCCTGGGCGCGCTTGGAGAGGTCGGATATGGCGGACGTCATACGAGGTTCCGGAGCCAATACAAGATGAAACGACTCCTTTCTGGCCATGTGCTAGTATCTACATTGAGTGGATGAGCTTTATCCGGTTCACCAGAACTTTGACCCAGTCGATTCCTCCCTCAGTTTTCTTTTCGCAACCGTGCGATGTCGTGTTGACCTTCCGAGCTCAGTCCACATCATTTATGTCCCGTCTAGTCCAGATCACATTTTCCTGAATGTCCATTGGAGGATTTATCCACGCAGCCTCGACCAACCCGTGTCTAGATGGGCGTGGAAGTCGAAATTGAACAAAGAGCCGCGAGAGGGGTTTGCCCGGCACGTATGAATTGGGCCGGTGTTGTGAGGGAGTTGCTCGGACCTCGCGCTCAGCGTTATCCTTGTGAGTCACATCAGAGTCAATCAGGCGATTCGACAGGTGTTGTATTCGATCTGGGTTCTGTGCTCGAGACCCCAACGGCAGCGAAGGGACAGGACGCGCACGGGGAAATGAGGTCCCCGTGCTGGGATCCAAAGAAGTTGTGTAAAAGCCAGTGCCAGTCAGCTCTGGGATTTCGACAGGCAGCAGGTAGAGACTACGAGTCGAGTCTGGAGCTTGACTGCTGGCCCGTATCATCTCCCTGCTTCTTCTTCTTCTTCTTCTTTTCAGCTTTTGTCACCGTTTCCGGTCAAGTATCTTTTTTGGCCACATGATCGTATCCAACGACATGTAGGAACAGGACTCCTGACTTGAACGGCCCCTCTCTCGGATTCTTGACTGTCTGTCGCGGGTATTTCGGCTGTGCACCACTTGCGGCCCTGTAAAAGCGGGTGTGCAAATCTAGCCACGGTCTGCACGATTCGCCCTTTTGGTTTCAGGGGGGCTGGTGTTCCGCTCTGTACTACTTTCAATCACATTAAAGCTAAAGCCAGGCCAAGGAGACCTCTTGCCGTGGGAAGCGACTGGTCAATTTTCATGTGGGCGTTCGAAACGAGTCGTGGTGGACGATAGTCTGAGATGTCCCAGAAGCCACGATTGTCTTCGAACGGGCTTCTGCTGCTCCACTCGGACCACGAGGAGGTGAATGCGGTGACGTTGCTGATCTTCATTGTCCCCCACAACTACTGATGGAGACAGGCGGCGGCGGTCTCCATCCTCTGGATTCTCGGTAACTCCGCCAACGTCCTCTCGCATACGACGGCGAGAATGCCGGGATAAATGAATCCAGTGACCAGACGACCGATGCACCGTGACACCTACCCCCAGGAGTAACATCTGGACTGCTGTATCACAGACTTGGAGCGTCGCGGTTTGGCCAGTCAAAAGCCGTCCCGAAATCGGTCAGGATTACACGGGACCTGACAAAGGAGTAAATTCTCTGTTTTGAGATCCTTGTGTCGCAAGGAGTTCGACGACATTATAAACTCAATATGCCCTGACTTCTTCAACATCTATAATAGCTTCAACTTTACGTCCGCCAGCGTGACTGGCCCCATTGCCAGGTACATGTTTGAGTGGTGGGTAATGGACAGAATCACTAGCTCGATCAGCATGATACTCGAGGCGTCAGACTTGTCGATCAGGGCCTGATCTACTCGTATAACATGAGCGTCAGACTGCGCGGGAACACAATAGTTTGATTTTATATTTGTTGAATGCGCTCGCTTTGCAAGAAGGGAGGGAGGGCAGTTGTTGTACATTCAAGATACTCACGCCAAGCGCAGGTATTAATCCTGGGGATGTGAAGGGCACACACACACACACCCACACACAACTACCCAGATGCAAAGACTACCAAAAAAACTCCACTTGGGAGAAAACTGTAGCCCGCGGTACAATGGACACAGTTTTTTTTTTTTGTTTGTTTGTTTCCTGGACTCTAGGAGCCCTTCTCGCCTCCCGTAGTGGATCCCTCCTGCTCGTCCTCCTCCTCTTTCTTCCTCCGTGAGCGCTCAACCCCATGATTTACCCTCCCCCTTCTCTCGCTTTGAGCCTTTTGGTGGTTGTTGTTAACAATGCAGATTGCAGCTATCAATTCCCCAGGTGAGTGAGTAGGGCCTAGAAGAGCTCATAACATCACCCACCACGACGTGTGGAAATTTATAAATCAACAAGGTGGGTAGATTCGAGATTCGAACCCCCGAAACTTGGTGAATTTATAGATTGATGCAGACCTGATCCGGCAATTGTTGGAGGGAAGTTCACTGTTGTAAATGATAAAGACCGTAAAAGAGAAAAGAAAAGTGGGGTTCTGTTGTCTGGCATGTGATGCATCAAGGAGGCCAGGAGGTGAAGGTGTAGCGAGCAGAGTGAAGGAGCAGTTTGGAGCAGAGGCGGGCGTTGGCTGCTACCAGAAACTCCCAAGGGGGCATGACCACAGCCCCTGTACACCTTGCTCCAGTACACTGATCTTTCTTTCAAATCTCTTTTTCTCTCCGCCAGGACAGTGTAGTCGGGATGATTGGGAACGATGGGGCGACACCTCCACGGCAGGGCAATCTCGACGAGCCCATGGTTATCACAGACTACCAGCGAACCGTTTGCAAGCGATGCTGACTGCATATCTAGTCACCTGGACACTCAGTTGTTGGATCCGAGTTTCTACAATTACAAAACGGACTGCGGCCGAAAATACCATGCACTTTATTGAGAAATTCATCGTTGTCTAAGTGGTGATGATCTTGAGCAGGTGAGATTCAGCCTGCGTCACAATATTTGGAGAATGTTACTTGAGAAAAGGGCTCCGATTGCTGGGGGGGGGGGGGGGGGAGGGGGTCCTTGTTTTGGAGCACCCTGTCGTCCACCCTCCAACTCTGTACTGGCACTTGAATATGGGCGATAACGCGCGACGAAGCCGTACCCAGTGGCAGTGGTGTACACAACCAAACCTGCGCGAGCTCCTTGGGAGGGTAGTCGAATACCTTGAGCCCAACGGGTACGTCGAAAGTCCACGGCTGCGGGTTTCCTGTCGCCAATGACGAGATTCTTGCGAAAGTCTGGCCATGGTATCAGTGGGGCCGGGGGAACAGACAAGGCTTTATGTCCGGCACGTCGCAGTCCGTTTTGGTTAAAGGGGAAGGAAGAGAGAGGGAGGGGAGACGACTACCAAGATATCACGGCGCCACGTACAACAGGAGCAATCACTGTCAAGGGTGCAATTATCATATGAATTCTGAGACGAAGGAGTCTGGACTCCAATGACATGTCTCTTTTATTCGATCCTCCAGATCCAAGGATCCGGAGAGATTCTCTGATTAAGCTAAAGCAAACTAAACTGAGTGGTTCATGGTAGGGGCCCCGTGATCCCAATCACAGTGTTTTTCCTCAATGATATCCATACAAGGCCTTGATCTCCTCTGTTCCCATGAAGATACCATCGTTCCGATTCAGAATGTCATTGCTACTATCGTAGATCGGCTGACCTCAATTCTTCCACAATGTCATGGTACTTCCCGAGAGCCGTCGATTTGACGATGGCTGGAGACGCGGGTAGGTGGCCCATCACACCAGATCGTGTGCTGTCACGGCATCATGGTCGTCGTTGTCGCTGAGTGTGTCTAAGGCTGAGCTCGCGGGCGTCGGAACATAGACAAGCCCAGGAGGGACGTCGTCTATCAATGCATCATGTTCACGCAGGAGCCGGTACTGATCTACCCAGCGCAAGGAGCGACAAAGCTCTTCACATGAAATCACAATGAATTCGTCGTGCAGGGACTCGGGAATCAGAACCTTGGGCGCCAAATCCAGGATTGGGATCCGTAGTTGGGCATTTGGGACCGGCTTTCCGTCGAAACTGCGCATTTCCTAGACATCATATTCAGTTAGTCACTGGGCGGAGGGGATGATGTATAGGCTTACCTGGCTATGATGGTCAATGAACAATCGAGGTGGTGCAGACTCGGTCGCGGGTTCGATCCGTCTCTTCCAAGTACGCAACATGATCTTCTTGGAGCGTGGATAGTCTTGATCCAACCCCACCACGAGTTTGGTACCTTCAGTAATGTAGATGTGCGCCAACTCGGATAAGGATTTGGTCTTTTGTGAATATGCCACCTCCAATATGACCCCTGGATATTTCGCCTCGACGTGTCTGAATTGAGCGTCAGGGCTGTGAGTGCCGAATTCGCCTTCTTTTAGAGGTGCGTGGCGTCCATTGACGATTTGTTCCACGAACTCCTTCTCCTTCGGATCTCCCAAGCATAGCTGTGTCAATTCTTTTTGCACGAACTTGCAGAAGGCTTCTTCCATGCTCTCATGCTCAATACTCGCGGACATTCTGAGGACGAAGGTCGAGGTTCTCGGGAAATAGTCGTACCTGTGAGTTAAGATCAGCAGCTGTGCCATCGGGTAATGTGTCGGCGTCTCATACCGCAGATGCTTCCAGTGTGGATTCTCATGAGTCAGTTCTTCAAAAACACCGAGGCCCTGAGGACTCAAATGATACGGCAGCCAAATGTCGAGGCTGGGAGAGCGATCTCGATAGTAGCGTTCAATCTGCTCGACAATGAGGGACAGGGTAGAGGCCGACTGTGGGTCGGAGGACTGGAGACGTGTCAAGATGTTGGTGGTCGTGGAGACATCACTTGAGGAGTGATTCAGATTCGCAGCTGGTGAAAACCCATCGTGAGGGTCAGGACCCGCCTCCATGGTCGACATCGTTCCGGAAACGTCTGGCTGTGCCAAGCTTGTCTGCCAAGGGGTCAGGGTGTGCAGCAGTGAGATGACGCGACACGACGAGACCAAGAATCAGCATCAACGGTGCAGACGGTGGTGTTGATGGTGATGGAAACATTTGAGAGTTCTTTGTGCGGGGTTAAATACTGCGGAGGCAGGGTACGGTCGACTACAGAATCATACATTGGCAGTTGATACGGTCGATCATACAACGGATATGGGATATAAAGGCTTTCGGCCAATTCACGTACATGCGACAGACGTGATCCAGGACGTCGATCCTACCAACAATACGTCTTTGTTTAACCCATTGATGAGAGCGGCATATGACAAAGAGAGCAAGGGATGACGATGGTGGACCGAGAATGATGCTGACCTGACACGTATTTGTCTTTTGTGGCAGTAGTGATCGGTGCCGACAGTCGAAAACAAGACCTCCCTCCAGACATTGATGTCGATCCGACCGGGACGTGCGTCACCTTTTACCACCCAACATATTGCGTTGATACAGCAGAAGACTCCGCAAACGTTGGTGGGTTTGCCTGCTTTTGACAATTCTCCTGGATAAAGGTTGGATCGAAGGGCAAAAAGAGCTTGTGTCGAGTCCTGAATCCACTGACGACGGCGAGAATGTGCCTACACACTCATTTGTTCCGGTGGCATGAGCAAGCACAAAGCTACGACGACCTACTTAGCATCCACCGCCGGTGAGGCACGGGTGATTTCTAACCCGAGTCGCGCGAGCCGGGATAAGTTCAGAACGGCATCACCCCTAGGCCCAGAGGAGGGTGAGCGGGCTGCAGTCTGTATGTTTCCTATGTTATGGCGCTTGCCCATCTCCAAGTAGGGTTGGGAAATAACAAGAGGTATGAAGCATAAGACGGTGTCGTCGTGGCCACGGCAGAGATTCACCCACTGAGCCCCAGCGCTGAGTTGGTCATTCCATGTCGATTTGGTCCATCTTCGTGCCTTTCCTGATCTTGCGCCAGTAGCCCTCGATCACCAAACATTAAATCGGAGCGCGGCTCTCTTGTCATCCTTACTGGGAGAAGGAACTGGCTGATGGAAGTCTCGCTTCAAAACTGCCTCGGCTAATTCCTCTGGTAAGACTATTTCGGAGGGATTCTAGAGGAAGAATCGTTGTGTTGGATTCTTGTTTTTCTACGAGACAGCGTTACGCACTGGGGCCGAAGGAAAATGTGTTGTTCGGGCTCTCTTCCCTTATCTCAGTGAGCGGTTGTAGTCTCCAGGCCTCTACGACGGCGACAGGTGTCCGTGGCCCCTTATATGATTATGGCTGCGAAAGAGACAGTATCGATATCACGACCCCAGGTGACCACGGTGCATGTTCTTCCTCTCGCGAGTTTCCAGTGGAAATGGCGATAAGACTTTGGGCGTCTCTGTGACCACTCCTCCTAAACTCCAATTTGCGACTTCGTTATCAACTGAGGCTTGCCCTGACCATCCAGGACCGCACCACCGCGACAAGTTGAGTCATCGATAGAATGCATGTGTGATAGCGAGTTGATGTCGGTGCAAACAAACAACGCCGGCCGGCAGGGTCACCGCGATTCGCCAAACTGTCCACATGGAAGGAAGAAGCATCAGGACCTGCGCCATACAGTGGGCACTGGCGATTAGAGAACTGTATGCGATTGCCTATCGGTAGTTCCTATTGACCACGACTCACCGCTAACAAAGGGAGAAGAAACAGATGCCTCCTTCTCGATGACTAGGGGTCTGTGGCATTCTCTGCTTTACTGTCGCGTGTAAACAGCCTTGCGCTCCCGTAGCGTCGTGCTACCAGCGTCGTCTGTGACAGGCTTGCTTGAGAAGGAGCACTTTCATATAATTTCCGGGCCATCATCAGCGCCGCAGTTACAAGAGTGACTCACACAGAAATACGCGCCGGTCGCCATGGATTGTGACAGCCTTGAACTCGCGGCCTTGTGGAGGATTTTGAATCTTGACTTTCGGTACGACTAGTCTTTCAACCTGCGCTGAAGGATTTAATGATAGGTCAGTAGTTGCAGACGCTACCTATCTACCCGTGGGCACAGCAAAAACTGTCTCGCTTGATCACTAACGTATCATCTATCTATCGCTGCATCCTGCGACAACGATAGTACGTGTAGAGGCCGTCTATGCGCAGTCGGAGCTCCCGCATATCGGGACCATGTCAAGCTTGATTCGAGTCATTATGAATGTGAAGCTTCCGTTCTCCACGCTGTTTCTTTGATGAACCCAGAATAGTCGTCGTGCTCCCAATCCTCCGATCGAGGGCGGCAGTTGAGAGAAGCAGAGTCGGCATGACTCACCTCGACGTCATCCACAAGTGCTGCCGTCTTCCCTTGCAGAACCTCAACCAGGGCAGTCTCCACAAGCCACAGTCACAGGAGAGCGTCGTCAGTATGCGGCCTCGGGTTTGGAACATGCCTGGGAACCCTTTCCTCATCACAACACCGGACTTTAGGGTGGAAGTTGAGCATCCGCCGACGTTCGATGGGCTGAGATCCCATTGCCGAGATGGGTTTGATCTGTCGCCACTGTCCGTCGCGGGGAGATGTCCATTTTCCCCGGGACCTGCAGGTTTCCCAGGTGAAGTCTCTCCTTTGCACCTCTAGCGTCAACCTTTGCGAGCGACCCATTTGTCTAGACTGGGCAGAGCACGGCAGGACGGCAGAGGATGGAGCTATCCCGGGCTCGACACAGACCGTGACTCTCGCTTGCCATGTGGGCGCCCAGTCACGGAAATGAGATACACTGGAATCAGGATAGTCCGTTGTACTACAATTTCATTGTTTCAGACTCACAACGTGATAGTAGGTCGTGCTAACTTTTATTTTAGACAGAGAAGATCCAAGACTCGAGACTCGAGACTCTTGGTGGCCATTTGTCATTATTACCATTACGCCGTGCTGCCGTCTCGACTTGTCGACGTCCTCTACTTACGATCGAACCTGCAAACGCACCTGAGAGGTTGAGAGCCTGAAACATACCTGCGTCTCTGCGACCCTGCGAACCTGAAGACACATGTGAGTATGGCTACAAAAGAACATGCCTGAGAACCCAATGATTCTGCGAGCCTGAGGACATGACAACACGAGTACTACGAGCTCATGTACAGCTATGAGAGGAAGAAAGAGTGGATGAACACACAGTGAGTTAGTTGGTGACGCTGCCATGTTTATTCTGACGCCCCATGATGGTGGTGGTGGTTGTAAATGGAAATCGTTGCAAAACCAAACTTATATTAGGATGCCTATCGAAGGGTAGCATAGCCACATTGCAATACAAACCGAAGATGGTTCCTCCGGTGATCAGAGACTTGGCCATGGGTACGAGGCAAACCCCCATGCCGCCGCCACCCAGACGAGCTCATTCACAGTCCCGACCACTCCCAATTTAGCAGGCCTACAGACCGCGAGCAACTACCCAACTCCTCGTCTGTGTTAGGACAACCAGTGGCCTTACGTGATTGCATTGTTCCCTTGGGCTGAATCACAGCAAGATCAGATTCATCCCGAACCCCTCTCGGCCCCACACCCACGCGCCTGAAACGTCTGAGGTTGCTGGAGGCGACGCATCTTGGCCCGATACTCACATATCTAAGACGTTCAGGCCATTTTCTGTTGTTATATGCAACTCTTTCATGGTAAGCACTCACTTATCGCACGAAGACCTGACTGGAGTGTCGGAATATATGTACATCCAGTTGGCAACGTTGGTGGCAGTGTGGTGGTCTGGTGGTGGTCATTGACACAAGCCATGATTCCAGAACGTGCACTCTCAGTGCCACCGATACCCCCACTCACTCTCAAAATTCTCTAGGAAGCGCCGGGAACCCACCCGAAAGATTATTGACCAACCAGATGCGAGGTACTTCCCAAAATTTAAAGGAAAAGAGACGATAACATGCAAAAAAGTTTGCACTTCACAAACAAACTTCATTCTCAGACGACAGGAAGGTGAAGAGGGAATGCACGCCGCATTGGTAGGAAAGAGCGGTAGCGGCAAAAGCACGCTCGCAGACCTCCCGCGGCTCAACGAGGAGATTACTGGCTGCATTCAATCTTGACCATCAAAATATCAGGAGCGCGCGCATCTCCAGCCTCGGGGGACAAATGGGCTCGTACCTCAACCTTCTTTTATATTTGACTAGTGTATTTCAATAGCGGGAACAGTCTGCAAGGCACAAGAAGCTTTCTTTTTCTGCATGGCCACGGGGCCAGCGGCTCCAAGTCTCCGAGTCGAATGATAATAGAGTTGCTGCTGTGGTGTAGAAGAGGATTGCTGAGAAAGGTCTTCCTGCTTCTGTGAGCAGGTCCAAGAGTACTGTTGTGATTCCATTTTCATGGTCCGAGTGGTAATGATCCTGTCTTGTTGAAGGGACAAGTCTGAAGCCCATATGCTCCGCCGTATGAACTACACATGCTCCACCATAAAGACTGCGTTTTGTGCCTCACCGTAAATAACTTCGCTTCTCACTCTACCGTACTAACTGCACTTGACACTCCACCGTGCTTGATAACTAAGCAAGGCTGCAAGTCACATGTCAGGCTGACTTTTCTCTCAATCTCCAAATTTCAGAAACGGCAATTGCCAGAGTCACAAAAACATTCTAGTGCTTCCTAATCCGGTAATGCTTCAACCCAAAACAGAAAACCCTTCCCAGCACTGCGCTCGCGGACTTCGCTCCCCACCGGCAAAGCACTGTGGTATACCTTGACACTGTAACTCGGACTTCCGCGCATCCACAATAACATCAGGACAGTCAGCATACGGCAAGATCTGATCTGATACCCAGTATCTGAAGACGCCCCGGAGTGCTCATTCTCAAACTGAAAACTCCTCTGGAGGGGAGCCTGCCGCTCGATCTCTTGAACCGAGATAGACTCCTGTTCATTGGCATCAGACACAAACTTCCTCATCATAATCATGTCAGCCACTACCACTGCCTTCCCTCGCCTTTGGCCATATCAGTCATACGGGGCGCAGCATCAGAGTCGACCTCCCTAAAAAAAGAAAAGTCCCTCCACTCAGACCGGCCACAGGATTCTTGTCACCCAAAGAACACTGAAAAGGTCCGGGAACAATCACAGACTGATCAGCAGTATGCCACTGAAACTTGAACGCCGCACCAGGGTTCAAAGGCAACATGCCAGGAGCAGGCACCATGGTGGGGTCGTAGGCGTTGAACGAAGAAGACGGCTTATAGGCAACTGATCTCAAACGTCAAAGGCCACGGTGTTGAGAGAGCCGTCTCGGACGTCAGGCGGGGGCAACCAGTGTTGCAAATAGAGTCTTGTATTTCCATACATTTTCACCTCTCAAAAGGTTGACGCGGATCTGAATGCGTCGCTCTGGACAGATGTGGTGAGGCTTTTGGTCGACACGAAGAGCGTCATCTACAGGACGACAAGGGTCACGGGAAGGGGCCGCACCAGGGCGACTGCGACTGTCGATCTCTAGGAAGGGAGCGAAGGGGATCAATGGTTGACTCTATGAATAGGTGATGGGAAGGCGAGCGAGAGGACGCCGGACCGGTGTAACCTCTGACGTCATACGCATCAAATTCCTGCTCAAATCTCAAAAAGCCCTGATTTCCACCCCAATACCACCACTAAAGACAGGTAATGCGCCCGCAAAGAAACCAAGATGGGGAAAATGATTCGATTGTTTTTGGACCCCCTTCGGCTAAGGAGCCAAGGTGGTGCGCACGAGCCAAGGCGTCCAGGGTGGTGCCGCCAGCCAAGAGCTCCCCAGAACCAACCAATTTCCCAGAAGCACTGGCCAGGTGTTTTTTGACAGGCAGCAGGAAAGGTCTGCCAAGAGGCCTCGGCCTTTGACCCATCCAACCAGAGCTCTACACGACGGTCACCGCATGTTCGTCCAGTGTCTAGTTGTAGCCAGGGTGCGATGCCACGTCTGCTACGTTGCTGTACGGATTCCAGCGGATCAGTAAAATCCCTCCTGCAACCAACAATGACATACTTGGTCACCTTTTGGAACTCCGCGGCAAAATAGAATATACCGCCATGTCGACAATGGCTCGCGATCCCTGGCTTGCTTGGAGGGGACATTCCCGCTTGCTGCTATGCGCAACAGCGGTACTACCATACTCTTTACTTATAGCAGTCCCCCAATCCTTCGATCCGTCGTATTCCAGCTTCTCAGTCTATCACCAAAAAGCCCTTTGTCCTCCTTAGCTTTGACCATTTATCGAGCGAAAACCGCGACTCCTTCAAACGATCCCTGAATGTCTTCCAGCCATGATGCTAACAAAGCGGCCGATGAAACGGTCGCACCCGAAGAGTCTGCCAGACAGCGTCGGGAGCCGCGGATTGATCCTCAAGCTGGGCACATTTTAAACTACACTCCAGTTTCGCGCGTCATGAGGGCTGCCATTCCCGGCGATGTAATGGTTTCTCGGGACGCCATAGAGCTTATGCAAGATTGTGTCAGCGAGTTCATCTCCTTTGTTACGAGCGAAGGTAAGAAGCATAAGCACAACGTATGAAGCTCCAAGTGCTGATCGAGGGTTAGCTGCAGAAAAATGCGCAGCTGAGAAGAGGAGGGCGGTGAGCGCCGACGATGTTCTGACTGCAATGAACAAGCTCGGATTCCAGAACTATTCGGAAGCGCTGAAAATCTACCTGAGAAGGTACAACGAAGTAAGCCTACCCTCCCCCAACCTCACCCAGGTGCATCCAGGAGACAATTCTCTAAGCTTTGTTCGACGTCAGAAAAAGGATCCGGGCGCCACCAGCACCAGCGGTCCAACGAATGAGCGACAGGAGGGAAACAAAGAGAAAGAGTATCATGGGAGCGAACGACAACGAGGACAACCATACGGGGCACTTCCAAGACAATCTCCCAGAGCTGAGAAAGAGGCTACCGTAGAAGACACGGACGCCCACCGCACGAATTGCCTTGTGACTGACCTGATCCAGTCACTGGAAAGCACGGGGAGACCAGGCTAGTGTATGATGGTAGAGAGAGAGACCACCCTATTGGAGGCCTCTCAGCGTTTACTGGAAGTTGAAGCGGCGTACTCACCGTTTACCCCCAACCGACTCATTATCGGTGGGGTTGCACCAGAACGCCTGGGCCTTGTCACCACCATAGCTCGTAGAGGTTGTGAGTGTCCCCGAAGGCGCCACGTGTGATGAGCACGTCAAGGCGAGCCAAGTTGTCCAGGGATCCCGGTCGCTTACGTTGTCCTTGTGACAATGCATATGCGCCCTTTGACAAAAGTGCCGGAATGTTCCAGGGACTTTTGGTTGCTCTAACCCTATCGGCAAGGTGCCCCGAATGGTTTTTACCGGCGGTAAATGGGTTTTCCTTCCAATCAATCAAGTTTCCCACCTACACCGCCTCGACATGGACCTCTTGCGACACCTTCAAGCACCCTTCCCGCGACCAGCCCTCTGAGCCTGCCTTGCTGGACCAGACCAGCCCACGACAAAGCCTGGCAGGACCCGACACCATCATCGCGGACCGGGCTACCACTATAACCCAGTCCTGCCACATGCCCAGGTGGCTCTCCGGGGGTCCCAGCAAGCTTTCCACTGAATCAAATGCAATTTTCTGCCGCCCTGCTCGCGCTTGTCAATCCACACTAAACACTTGCGCAAAGAGATCACTATCGCATTCGGCATGATCTGGCCGTGGGTAGGGTTCCAACACTGAAGGGCTCTGTTGATAATCTCCACCTTTCGTTCGATATCACGATCGGCAAAGTCCTCAGCAGGCATCCATCCATCAGCCGGACCTAATAGGTACTCATATTCCAGGTGTGCCGGATAAGCCCTCCGGTTCGTAGGTCTCGTTCATGAACTCAAGCTCTGTCGGTCGGTAGTCCAACCTCCCCAAGTGGAGAGGGGGAGCTTCTCTCCACGTTGAAAGGGTACTCCAGAAATGCTGAAAGTTGACAGTTTGGGTGGTTGATGTCAAGAAATCCAAGAGACTGGGCGACGGGCGTTCGACCTTACAAATACTTTATAGTTGGTGGGCAGGGAGTCGAGAGGAGAGTGGAATGAGACATGATTATGAAAGCGTTGGAGAAAGGGGAAGTTGGGCTGAACGAATGGCCTGGAACGCGTTGTGGTCAACGTTCCAAACCGTCGCGGACCCTACTCTGCGGCGGTTTCACGACGTGCTCGGTGGGAAAAAGTCGAATTTCGAACATACCCGTTTACTCACTGGCGGTCACGTGCAGTGCCAGATCGAGTCAGGACTAGCATGACTTTGGACGCCGCCGTTCCTCTTTATTCTAGTTACTCGAGTCGCAGACTCTCTCCCTCGTTGTTACTCTCTCCTCAGTCAGAAAGAGTGCACTGAACAAAACCAACCTGCCATTGCGGCAATTTCCCTTTTCCTTCGTTGTGGGCTAGTGCGGAACCCACTCGATTGTCGTCTCGCAACACTGGCTCGGGAAATTTGGGAACTCGAGCGCAAACCAGAACTCTTCCCTCGTATGCAAGAAGAGGTCGGAACGGAGCGAGGTCTGGGGTTAGCGGGGATATCACGAATAGTGACAAGTATCCAAGGAAGCCCACGAGAACCTCAGAGCCTCGTGTGCGAACTTGCCATTCGCGGAGTGAACGGGGACGTTGATGAGACCTTGACTCTGCACGGTGCACACCACTGACGTGATGCGCGAAGTGGATTGGTTTTGCACCGGCCGGGGAAGTCGAAACCAGATCCTTCTTTGGTTTGGGGGCTGAATCTTGATAAATTAGCTACCCGATGCTCTTCATCATCGCAAAATGCGGCAATATCGATATGACCATACAACATTGTTATTATACGACTTTTTACGCCACTGTCAATGACCACGACTGGCGTCGGTTAGTTTGTCGCCCCTAGCCATATCTCTCAAAAAGACCTAACCGAGATCCACTGTGTGCCTTTCCTGGGTCTTTTGTCTGCCGCTACAACCGCCTGTCAGGGTTTGTGTTCAAGTTCTTTCCCGTCGGGGCCGGAGTATAGATCCAAGGTGGGAAACAAGGGACTGGGCGAGGGACAGCGAAATTAAGGTTGTACCGATTCAAGGTCGAATTTGAGGCCCCGAGGCATTCCGTAATGCCGTAACTCCCATTATTAAACGACTTGAAGAAGGAACATGCAAGAAGTAACATACAAAAGGTAATGTGAAGGAGGAAATTAGTGGTGTTTGTAGCGTTGTGCAAGAAACTGAGAGATGTCGCACTTCGTCATGGGTCAATAATTTTGTGGTTACGTCAGCAGGACTGCCAAGAATTGCCAAGAGAAGTTTCACTCCAAAACTGACCGGGTGAAACTCCAACTCTGACTAAGTGCACCCCGCACAGACTCTCAGAAATTCTCTTGGAGTGTCACTCTCAACTCACTCTCAGTCGCGGTGAGGGTGAGTCAGAGTGCACGCGGGAAAATGAAGGATTGCACAGCTGACATCACAAACACCACCTCTACAATACCACCTTGCTTTTCAGCCCTTGTAGTGTTAAGATGTTTCAATTCTGTCGGGACTGCGGAACCGTCGTGGCGGGGGGCTACCTTAGCTTCCTTCCTTTGTGGTGTCCGAGACAAAGCGGTTGAGATTTTCTTTGGGCTGCACTGCTTTGGGTTAGATGGACTGCCTCAGTTGGCAATTCTTTGTTATGTCCAAGACAAAGCAGTTGAGATTTTTCTTTAAAGCTGCCTTGACCGGCGTCTTGCAGGATTATAAATATCTCTCCTATTGCGCTACTTCTGCTTTCCATTTTTCTCCACCACAACAACCGACTTTTGAATCCAATCTCGAGTTCAGCACTTCACCATCAGGCTTCATCCTTGACAGACCTTGGCCAGTTTCCACTTCCCCAAACCCATCTGCGTCCAAGCAAATACCAAGTCAAGATGTGCAACGATATTCCGCATTTGATCATCCACATGATCAATAGGCAATTCATCGTCGCTTATTCGGTCGAGTTCCGGAAGCAATTCGAGGTGCGCTTCAGAACGAGATTCGACGAGAAATTCGGAGCGGCGTTCGAACCGAGATTCGACGAGATAGAGCAACTTGTCTGGGACAAGACTGCCAAGGACCTTCGCGAGCAATTGTCCGACGGTGTTCAAGAAGACGTCTACAAGGCCATCATTGACGAGTTGGAGGAAGCGGTAGACGACGAGGTCCACAACAACCTGGAGCACCACCTCGACGACATTGCCGGGGCCGAGTTCATAGGCCACCCGGACCCGACACTGAACGCACTGGGGCTCCGGGCTATGCACGACCACATATTCCACGAAGTGCTCCACGAGAAAATCCAGAAGGAGGAGGACCTGGTCGCCCGATTCGCACCCATATTCGAGCCGGCGTTCAACGCGGCGTTCCCCGCATTCTTCGACGCCAAGTTTGACGAGGTCCACGCTGCGGTCGTCGAGGCCGCTTAGAGCGGCGAAAACACGAGGAAGACTCTTTCTGCGGCAGAGGCGCAAGGTGGGACGTCACTGACCACGAAGAAAGACCCTCCCCGACACATGGCGAAATGAATTTTCGAAAACACAGATTTGATGGAAAAGGAGAACCGAGTTTACACAGAAAACCCAGGGAAAAAAAAAACTGGAAGGCGAGGCAGGCTGATGGTTACTTTACAAAATAAAGCGAAAACACCCCCTAAAAAAAAAGAAAAAAAAAAGAAAAAAGGGGGGCGGAGGAGGCCGTTTGATTACTCATAAAACAAGCGGAAATTACAAAAAAAAAAAGATGGAAAGGGGGAGGTGGATTGCTGGTTTGAGAAGTAACGAACAAATACCCAAAAAAAAGCGTCAGAGTACATTTTATTCTGTGTCAAATTGAGAAAAGCGGGCAACTGAATATATTTTCGCGTGACTGACGATGACCATCGCGGCGTCATTCTCGTCATCATCATCATCTATCTCACCTCATCTCATCTCATTGCCCAGCACTTAATGCGCTCTTCGGCTGTGTCGTCCCCCGAGGCTTTGCCAAGAACTCATGGTTGAAGCCGCCAAAGGTCGAACGGAAGTGTTTGAGTCGGGCTTTTAGATCCTTCTTTGCGTCAATCTGCTTCTAGACTGTCTTCTCGTCGTACCTCTCTGTCACGGCGCAACCTAGAACAGGAGAAATCGCTGTCAAGGGTGCAATTGCAACATGAATTCTAAGACGAAAGAGTCTAACTAATAATGCGCGAGGAACGCGATAGAAGAGTGTGTAGGTCTTCAGCCTCGTGCGGGGTACTCAGCCTCGTGAGGGGAAACCTGCACAAGCACCTCAGGCCGTGACACTCTCCTAGACCATGAGCAACTGTAGCTTCGAATGGTCCCAGTCGTCTTCAAACAAATGCAAGTTCTGTACAAGGAAACTCCAACATTTCATGTGTCATGGCTCTGCTGCCCAGTCGAGAAAATCTGTCAGAAGCTCTGCGGTTTTTTTCTTCTTCGCTCCCGTTGCAGACGCGGTCGATTGTGGCTCAGATGTAACATATTGTTCGACGGAAACGGCATGGGATCCTGATATCTGACATCTATACAAAGGGGTGCTGACGCGTCGACGCCATGACGAAAAATGGTGTAGAGTATTCACAGATGCAGGAAAAGCCACTTGAAGTGCTGTCGACCCTACTCTCCCCGTTGTTCACTCATCATCGAGCCACTTCCTCTGGAGTAGATGCAAGAGAAATTCAGGTGTTGAGGGTTGACCGCAGCATGTTCTTTGCATTATCACGAGTGCAGCGAGGATGTCTGTGGTGATTTCTCGTTGAGTGCCAATTCCGATCTGAACACGGTTGGAAAACCGCGCCCCAAGATAGCCCGGGCTGACATGGCACATTCGTCATCAATTTGTACTGTACAGGCGGACCACCAAGGGATACACCCCCCAACAGGCGAATGAAGGTAGAGAGTAGGTATTGTAAGTATTGACGCTGAGACCATGGCTACCCTGTCAAAGGCCACCGCAGGAGACGTTCAGCTCCTGGTGAACTTGCTCTGACAA